TCCTGAGGACGCCCAGGCCTAAGGGGAGGTGGCTCCCTGGATGGGGGCAACCAGGCTCCAACCTCAAAGCCCACATGGGAGAAGCCACCACTCTAGGCCTTTCCTAGGGTGACTGACAGGACAGCAGGGGTGTGACACATGGCAGGATTCCTGAATGCACCCGAGATGAAGGGGTCACCAGGGGACACTGTTCTTGTGGCAGATCAGGAGGGAGTGAGGACACATGCCAGGCCCCCACAGCGTGACCGGGACTGACCCACACCACTCCCCTGCACGCATTACCCTCGGTAAGTCACATGGCCAAGCCCAGGACCCATGTGGGAGGAGGGGAACAGGACCCCCTTTAGTGATGGAACCCAGGGTCCGTGCGAAGAGAGGCCATGAAAGAGTGGTCCAACCTACAGCACAAACCATTGTCTATCATAAGTAGACGCCCTGCTCCATGACCCCTGCATTTAAATAAATGTTTGTTAAATGAATCAAATGCCCTCGCCCTGAGATCTCACCTGTGTGTAGGTCTATCACACACACAAACACACATACACACACCCAGAGAACCTGCAGGATCCTGGACACAGGAATGCAGACATGACAGCAGGCAGGCATCAGGGGCAGAGCAAACAGCGTAAATGACCCGCACAGTACCCTGGGGCCCATCAGCTCAGAGACCCTGTGAGGGCTGAGATGGGGCTAGGCAGTGGGGAGACTCAGAGAGGGTGGGGCCTGCAGGAAGCTGAGCACTGCCCTCCAGGGAGGCAAGAGCACTGTTCCCATCAGAAAGCACATCTTCCTGCACCAGCTGCACAGACACAGGAGGCCCCCTGCCTGCCCTGGGCCAGGGTGTGGATTCCGGATTTCATGCCCCAATGGGTGGGACTGAGATTTTCAGTGACATCCAAGGGGAACCTGTGATTCCGAGCTTAAACTACTGTGCCTACAAAACAGGAAATAACCCGACTTTTCCTGTTAAATCTCAAAGGCCCTAAGCATAAGCTAGCACCTTCTAAATCAGACGTTGAGTCACTCCAGGGAGTGGCTGACACCTGTCCCTGCTCCTCCCCTTGGCTCAGCTGCTGCCCCTCTGGGGTGACTGATGATCAGGACAAGGGAGCCTAGAGCTGGCCCCATGACTGACAGAAAGGCAGGACTCGGCCTCCATTCTGAAGACTGGGGGTGTCCGGAGAGCTGGGCGTCCCACAGAGCTGCACAGGAGGATGGGGACAGAGGGTGACACAGGACTCAGGGTGTCAGATGGGTCAGGAGGCTCAGCTGGGAGCTCAAGGACAGTACAGACCTGAAGAGCCTCAGTGGGAAAGAAGCGCTGAAGTGGGAAGTTCTGGAATGTTTCAGGGACAAGACTCAGTGCGCCAAGGGAACGCTCCCACCCCGATGTAGCCTGCAGCACTGGGCGGGCTGTGCGCCTCCCCTCTGCCCATCCTCACAGCTCCTGCCTCCAGGGACACGGCTCCTGCCCTAACGTGCATCCTCTCTCACTCCACACAAAAGGGCCTCTAGGGTCCCTCTCCTGCACTGCATGGAGGGGAGGCCACGTTCCCACAGACCACCCAGCAACAGGGTCCTGTGGAGGCGGGGTCGGGAGGATCACACACCCCTCGTGCCGGGGGGCCTGACTCTGGGGGTGATGGATTAGCCTGGAGGCCACCTGTCCCTGAGGGAAACCTGCACCCTAGTGGCTGCCACATCCCTCCTGATTCTTCCAGCTGAGAATCCTTGAAATCCCTGGGAGGACGCATCCCCCACTGGGAAAGGCCCGTGTGGAAGGTTCCACAGCAGCCCAGCCAAGGCCCTTGGACACAGATCCTGAGTAACAGAACCTTTAGGGGCACAGGCACATGGCCATGTCCCCAGTGCCCACACAGGGCAGGGGCATCTGCACACTGAGTGCGCAGCTCCTGCGCCTGAACCCAGCCCCTCCTGGATGACGTGGGCGCTGGACCTTAACAAAGATCATGACATTTTACCCTTATCTACCTGTTCTTCTAAGAGTTGAGTACATTTTTCAATTGCATTTTGGTATTTGATCCTCTCTGAGTTAATTCTGATTTGGGCTGGGGATGCAGGGCACTGTCACCACACAGGGGCTGGGAATGAAACAACAGTATCCCGTCACTGATTCCATTTACTTAGGGGGACATATTCTTATTTAGGGAAAGATCTAAAAGTATATGAATTTGAGCATAAAGAGGAAAAAAGCATAAAGCAAAAAAAGCAAAAAATCTCAAATAAGAGAGGGAGAGAGAGAGAGAGAGAGAGACCGACAGCATCAGTGGCTACCAAGGGCTGGGGTGAGGGAGAGTGGGGCGTTATGATTAATAGTATAAAATTTCTACATGAGATATGAAAATTTTCTGGAAAAATATTATGGTGAGGATGCGAATGTAATTGTGTAATGTAATATTGTGAATGTAATATTGTAATATGTAATATTGTAATGTAATAATATAATGTTGTGAATGTAATTAATGGCATTTAATTGTACACTTCACATGATTCATGTTGCATATTTTCTTATACATTTGACCACATCTATAAAACACTTGGAGAGGGAAAGCCCACCACGTAAAATATACCCATCCTAATCAGATAGTCCTCATTATACCCATGCGCAGGCCCTCATGACCTTCTGTACAGAAATAACCAAGGATTTAAGGACATGAGACTTCCCAGCCAATTGCAGATGCACAACATAAATTATCTGCGAAGAGACTGAGAGTTAAGCTGGGGGTACAGACCTCAGCACTGCCAGGATACACATCCTTCTCATGGATCTGACTTTATCTGACCCAGTCCCCTGTCCAGATCTTGTTGTGGGGTTGGGACAAGGGAGATCATGAAGCCTGTCCCCAGGGCACTCTGTGTGAGCACAGGAGACCCCCCTACTAGGTCTCCACACACAACTCTGACCACCAGGCCTTGTGAGGGGGACTGCAGCACAGCCTCAGCGATCACACCAGAGAATCGGCTACAGAGAGGACCACAGAGCTGGAGAAGCTGATGGATGACACGGAGCAGGGTCCCTGCAGTTCACAGCTCACCCTGGCATAGGTGTCCCCTCCCCCGACCCAGGCACCCCGACACACCTCCCTCCTGGGGCCTCCTCCTTGGCGACACATCAGCATCCCTCACTCAAGCTGTCCAGAGAGAGCAGCACCTTGGACAGCACCAACCCCAGCTTCACCCTTCCTCCCTCACAGGGCTCAGGGCTCAGAACAAATGGCAGAGGCCAATAAGTCCAGAGACGGTAACAGGGCAAAGATCCAGGGGCAGCTGCCTGGAACGGGAGCAGGAAGCCACAGGGAAGCCACAGGGAGAAGATGGTGCCGGAAGGAAAACCCAGGAATGGGCAGGAGAAGAGAGGAAGACACAGGCTCTGCTGGGTTGTAGTCCAGGGTGGGACTGTGAGTGTGAAGCTATCTAAGCAGGTGACGGCACCCTCTCCTTCCCTGGGCTCAGCCAAAAGGGCATTTTTCCACGACTGTTCGTCTCTCACAAGCTCCGACGCCCCCAGTGCCGTCACCTCACAGCCCTTCTCATTACCATTAACTCCTCAGCCCCACGAAGTTCACTGAGCGCCTGTCTCCCTGTTACAGGGAAACTCCGTGAGTGCAGGGGCCACGTCTATCCTGCTCTCTGTGGAATCCCAGGGCCCAGCCCAGTGCCTGACACAGAACAGATGCTCAATAAATACTGGTTAAATGTGTGGGAGATCTCTGAAAAGAAGCATATCACCTCCATGTTGCCCTGGGTCAGAGCCTGTTCCATGTGGACGCAGGGGCACTGGCGCCAGCACGGGGGGAGGCCAGCGGGTGCCCGCGGCTGCCCCAGAGATGGATCCTGAACCCCGGAACTTCAGGAGGGAAGGCAGAGCCCTGTGGGAATAGAACCTGGACCACCCTGACCCTGCAGCCTAATTAATCCAGGGTTCAGGTCCCGCTCACACCACGTGGACCCTTGGTTAGCATCCCTGGAGCAGCTCCTGATAAGGCTACAGGGCTCCGCTCGCCCTCCAGGGGGCGACATAGCACACAGACAACGTTCAGGAAATGGATTCCCCTGGCCAAGAACCTGGCTTTGCTAAGGAGGTGGAGATAGAGCTTGCTTTCCATCCCTTGCTCCAACTGGACTCTTCCGATCCCTCCCACGTACCTGCTCTGTCCCTTTCTGGGTCCTGTGAGGACCCTGCTCTGCCAGGGGTCCCTGTGGAACTTCTGACTCCCTCCCACCATGGGCAGTTGGGGGGTAACCACAGGACAGTCAGCCTCACATAGGACAGAGACCACCCAGGGTGGTCAAGAAGAATATAGACAGGCCCCGAGCCACAGCTCAGCCAACAGACACAGAGAGGGAGAGTCCCCCTGGAGCCTTCCCCAAAGACAGCAGCACCCAGAGCCTCCCACCTCCCTCCACCACTGTCCTCTCTTTCCAGGACACACAGGACACCTCGCCCTCCACACACAGGAGCTGGGGGTCTCCTGAGACCCCTGGGGCTGGGTCTCCATCCCTGGGTCAGAAGCCAGGCTGGTGACACTGGAGACAGAGGGCTGGTCCCTCCCCAGCCACCACCCAGTGAGCCCTTCTCTATTCCCCAGAGCCACCTCTGACACCTTCCTGCCAGGTGTCATCCCACCTTCCCAGAGCCCTGGAGAGCATGGGGAAACCAGGGGCCCAGCTGGGTTTCTCTGTCACGGAGGAAAATAATCCCCCTGGTGTGACAGACCCAAGGACAGAACACAGCAGAGGTCAGCACTGGGGAAGGCAGGCTGTCCTCTCAGGGGATGGGGTCCATCCACCCTGCTATTCAAAGCTTTCTCTGGGAAACCGAAAATAGAAGGGAAAAAGGAGGAGGGACAAAAGAGGCAGAAATGAGAGGGGAGGGGACAGAGGACTCCTGAATAGAGACCACACCCATAGCCACGTGATCCTAAGAAGTGCTCCTGCCCTAGAAGTAGACTCAGGGCAGAGGAAGGTCAGACAGCAGACCGACAGTCACAGCAGACCGACAGTCACGGCAGCCCTGACAAGAGTGTTCCTGGAAACCGAGCTCTTCTCCATAGCGAACAGAGCAGGCAGCAGAGACCATGAGGCCCCCCTCAGCCCCTTCCCACAGATGGCGCATCCCCTGGCAGAGGCTCCTGCTCATAGGTGAGGGGAGGACAACCTGGAGGAGGGTGGGAGGAGGGAGCACAGAGACTGGCTGGGGTCTCCTGGGGAGGACGGCGTTCTGAGAGGGACAGAGGGCTCCTGTCTGAATAGGAAAGAGGACATCAGAGAGGGACAGGAATCACACCAGAAAAATCACATTGAGCTTATGAATTGGAAAGGGGTGGGAAAGCCTCAAGTGTTTGATTTTCCTAGTTAGTCATCACTGGCCACTACATGTTTAAAAATCATAATAATTGCATCAGATGACACTTTAAATAAAAGCATAGCCAGGCACGGTGGAGCATGCCTGTAGTCCCAGCTACTCGGGAGGCTGAGGTGGGAGGATCGCTTGAGCCCAGGAGTTCTGGGCTGTAGTGCGCTATGCCTGTCAGGTGTCCGCACTAAGTTCAGCATCAATATGGTGACCTCCCGGGAGTGGGGGACCACCAGGTTGCCCAAGGAGGGGTGAACCGGCCCAGGTTGGAAACGGAGCAGGTCAGAACTCCTGTGCTGATCAGTAGTGGGATCGTGCCTGTGAATAGCCACTGCACTCTGGCCTGGGCAACAGAGATCCCGTCTCTTTAGAAAAAAAAAAAAGAAAGGAAAAAAGAAAAAAAGCTAATTCGGCCATGAAACACTGTCCTCATCCACCTACCACAGACACTGGCAAATAAACCCCAGGCTGTGGAGGGCTCTGGGAATGCTCACAAGCTCATCCACAGGAGTCTGCAGCCCATCCCAGGCATTGGGGTGCAACCAGGATCACACAACTCCCTGTCCTCACGGAGCTCACGCTCTCATGGGGAGGAAGGCAGACACGCAAAGAGATCTAGAATGTGAGGTCCGGTGCTGACAAGAGCCCTGGAGGGAACAGAGCAGGGAAAGGTCAGAAGGGGAAGACCCAGGGTCTCTAGAGGAGGTGTCAGGGAAGGGGTCTCCCAAGAATCCCCTGATGTGAGCAGGATCTGAAGGCGGTGGGGAGAGAACCGTTCAGAACCCTGAGGAAAAGGATTCCACACAGGGAAATGCCAAGGTCAGAGGTGCTAGGAAATGGGGGTCACACTGTTCACCTTGATCCAGTAGGACACACACACACACACACACACACACACACACACACACACACATACCCTAAGGTGGAGGAGTGAAGAGACCTGCTCAGGACCCAGGGCCCCATCCTTCCATCACAATGCACAGGTCCTAATCTTGACTGATGCTCTCTCCTGTTTCCCAGCCTCACTTCTAACCTTCTGGAACCCGCCCACCAGTGCCCAGCTCACTATTGAATCCGTGCCATCCAATGCTGCAGAGGGGAAGGAGGTTCTTCTACTCACCCGCAATCTGTCCCAGGATACTGCTGGCTTCAACTGGTACAAAGGGGGAAGCGTGGACAGCACCCGTCGAATTATAGGATATGTAATAGCAACTCAACTAACTACCCGAGGGCCCGCATACAGCGGCCGAGAGACAATATACCCCAATGCCTCCCTGCTGATCCAGAATGTCACCCTGAGTGACACAGGATTCTACATGCTACAAGTCATAACGGCAAATCTTGTGAATACAGAAGCAGCAGGCCAGTTCCGTGTATACCGTGAGTATTTCCCCGTGATCTCTGGGTGTTGCGGTCAGTTCTGCTTCCCACACACGGGTTTCTCAGGGCTGGGCTGTGCCTGTGTCCCCCTCTGCATTACATCTTGTGTTGGGGTTTGGGCATTTAGTGCAGGACACACACAGGGGAGATGAACTTCCACAGATCAGAATACCCTTCCTGCCTCCAGACCCTGCAGACACTCACAGCAGAGGAAGGACAGTCTGATAGGGGGACTGAGCAGGGGGAAGTCCGTCTCAGTCAAGCACCCCATGGACCTGACCCTGAGAAGACCCTGGAGAACTGGGTCAGGGCTGCCTGAGGGGCCCCCTGGGATCGTCACAGAGAAGCTCAGCCCCAGGGCTCCTGACTCCAAGTGACACAGGGGAGCCTGCACCAGGGCTGTATTGTGGCCTTCTAGGCACGGTCAACTGGGAGCAAAGACCTGCCAGCTGTCTAAGGGCCATGGCTCCTGGAGCTGGATCCTGGATGCAAAGTCAGTTTCTAGCCAGAGCTGTCCCTGTTCCCTGTGTCTTATGTAGGCAAGGACAGAGCCTTGTCTGGCTTTACTCGAGAATCAATGTGAGAAGACAGACAGACAAGGTTACTAGGGCATGAGCCCACTGCCCTGAGGGACACAGGTGACTCCATGTGAAGTTCAGAGTCCCCAGGAGGAGGAACAGAGAGGAGAAGATGAGATGCTCCCAGCAGCCTCTTGTCCACCAGGGATCAGGCCCAGGGCCCTCTCTCTGGGAGGCAAATAAACATAAATGCTGTTCACTTGGGCAGCAGAACTGAGGTCAAGTAATTGAAAATATTTTGAGGTTAATTCACAAACAACCTCACAGCCAAATAGCACTTATCTTACTTACTGAAAGGAAATTGAGGGGCAAGGAGACAGTCACTAACAAGGGTCCACAGGCCATAGGTGGCAGATTAGAGACATGTGAGGCTTGTCTGCAGCCAGAGCCCCCTCCTCTCCTCCACCAGGGGTTTGGGGGTGCTGTTTGTTATGAGGCATCTGCAGACCCGTACTCATTGTGGGTTTGCTTCCTTTCGTCTTGGGCATCCACAGCGCAGAGAGGGAGATTCTGGTCTGGAGAGTGAGGAGTAAACAGAGAATTAGTCAGTTTTACTCTAAAACTAAATCACCTTAACTGACAAGGTCAATGCCGGGATTGTCCAGGCCTCTCCCTTAGATCCACAACCCCATCACTGCACTGAAATCCTATGTTTCTCAATGTGTCAGTGTCATTCCCATGGTGGGATAAAAGAAAGGACTTTGCTTTCCCTCCCCACTCACACTCTGCACCAACACAGGTCAAAGTGAGACACATGCTTGCTCAGTAGCTCTCTCATGAAGAAGTGAGTGAATGGATGGATGGGTGGATGAATGAATGAATGAATGACCCATACCCTCTATAAGACTGGATCCTGGATGCAGAATCCTAGGAGGTTCTGGCCACACCATTCCCTGTCCGTCAGGGGCTGAGATCCACGTTCCATTCCTCTGACCAACCCCCTGTCCCGAAAGTCACCCTATGTCATATGACTCTAGGGTTCCTTGGCCATGGGAGCGTTTTCAAGGCTCCCTAGTCTGGCTGGGACAGCCAAGGGACTCCTGGTCCCCGGGGTCTCTGAAGTCACTATACCCTGCACGGCTCACTGCCATGGGTGTTTCCGACTGTCTCCTGTTCCTCCGTGTTCCTCATCTTCCTCCGTCCTCATTCTAGCTAGGATGCTCATCCCTGAACATCCTCCTCCACTCAGGTCTTCCCCAGACACTCCTTTGATCAGGGATGGCTGTCCTGTTTCCTCCCATTCATGCTCTGGCCTGGCCCACCTCCAAAGCAATAGGAAAAGCACAGAAATCAGCCCAGAGCCGCCACCCCTGCCAGGCTCTATCAAAAGCCAATGTCAACAGGTCACACCAGGAGAATGAGCTTCCACTGTGTCCCTGCTCAGGGCTCTTTACCTCCATGAGAACAACACCTGGACCAGGCCACAGGACAGGGACGAGCGACTCCTCCATCTGCTCTCTACACTGACTCATGAGGGGGTCAGAGACAGAAGGACAGTTGGGCAGTCCCCAAAGCCCACATACTAATTGCACCCATTTCACTACCTACTCCATCTTCATCCCAGTGTGAGGCTCACGTCCTCCAGTGGATCCCGGGACCTCCCCCAGGTGAAGCTGGCCAGGCAGGTGCTGTCTGATGGGTTTGCTGCCCATTCCGCACACACCTGTGTCCCCATGATGATGCTACTGTCATAGGTGGGGTCCCTGGGACTGAGAAGTACACCAGTCACTGGTGTCTCCCTCAGACTCTGCCCAGTTATAAAAACTTAAACTCTAGTTGTGTTTTCTGAGGTTGAGAGGAGAGGAAGAGAGCATTTCACATGCCTGTTTTGGGCTCCTCCCCTATTTGCCTAACTCTGCACAGGAATTAGTGGCAGGGAGCACCTTCTAAATTTGCTAACATAACACAGACTGCTTCTGCTAATTTGGCATCATTCCTCTATTTATGCAACTGACACACCTAAGACTTCCTCTCTGACCGGTTCTGTCCTCCTGACAGGACTCACACCACTCTCTCTACTCAGGAAGCCACTGATTTCAAACCTTCTGCATTTTCCTTTGAGCATAATGTGATCCCACTGAACTCACTGCAGACCCAAACCTTAGTATATGATTAAGAAAAGTACTACTTCCGGCAATTGATCTTAGACCTTTAGGCCATTAGTAACCATTTCCACTTATGGAAAAAAATTTAATGTTTCCCCCAAATTTCTTTTCTTTTTCTTTTTTTAACTATGGTCAGAACATAACATGAGATCTAAAGTTCTGACATTTTTTTTTTTTTTTTTTTTTTTTTTTGAGACAGAGTTTCCCTCTTGACCAGGCTGGAGTGCAATGGCACGATCTCAGCTCACCACAACCTCCAGTTCCCAGGTTCAAGCAATTCTCCTGCCTCAGCCTCCCAAGTAGCTGGGATTACAGTCATGTGCCACCATGCCCAGCTAATTTTATGTTTTTAGTAGAGATGGGGTTTCTCCATGTTGATCAGGCTGGTCTTGAACTCCTGACCTCAGGTGACCTACCCACCTTGGCCTCCCAAAGTGTTGGGATTATAGGCATGAGCCACCACGCTTGGCCACTCCTGAAACATTTTAAAAGGCAAATTATAGTATTACAGGTTGATTATCTCAAATCCAAAAATCCAAAATCTGCAATGCTCCAAAATGCTCCAAAATCCAACATTTCTTTGACCACTGACATGATGTTCAAAAGAAATGCTCACTGGAACACTTTGCATTTTGTATTTTCAGATTTGGGATGCTAAACTGCTAAGTATACAGCAAATATTCAAAAAAAAAAAAAAAAAAACATTCTGAAATCCAAAACACTTTTAGTCCTAAGCCTTATGCATAAGAGACACTCAATCTGTAATGAAATACAGGCACCAAGCTGAACAGCAGGTCTCTAGAACCTCTTCATTCTGCGTAACTGAAACTGCAGACCCCCGAACAACTCCCCAGCTCCCCACTCCCAGCCCCTGACAGACAACCACAGTTCTACTCTCTGGTTCCATGAGTGCAACTACTCTAGGGACCTCATGTAAGTGGAATCCTACAGTATCTGCCCTGTGAGTGGCTTTTTTCATTTTGCAGAATGTCCAATGGGAGAAGATGTTTGCAAAACTTCTTCTCAAAGTTCTGTCTTATAACTCAAACACACATGGTCTATAAAAGCCAGATTTCCAGCAGTTCATGCTCCCCTTTTTCCGCCAGTCAATTCTGCATTTGCAAACATCCACATGTATTTCTAGAAAGATCCACAGCGTCCTCATCTGCCCTCTGCAAGGGGAGAAGGGACATTAAAAATCAACGACAAAGAACATGGTTCTGCTGTTAAATCCAGGCAGCCCTGCCTGTCCCCTCACTCTTTTCTAGATCATTCCCAAAACTCTGCTCTATCTTTAGGGGTCACTGGCTCAAGTCAGTCATCATCCAATATCTCGGGAAACTGCCCCACCTTGTGCCTCCACTGCCTGATGACTGAACTGACCTCCAGGCTGGCCCCTGTGTCCCCTGGGTTATTTCTGCTGAAACATCCAATCCCAGGCCAGGCTGCGCAGTATCTACAGGGCTTAAGGACAATGGGAAGTCCCATCATTGCCCATTTCTAGGATGTCTTTACAAAGGGAAACCACGTAAAAAACACATCTAGGGTAACAAAGTAGGACCAAAGATGGAAGGGACCCAGCACCTGCACATTCCAGGTGAGGACCCCAAGGTGGGCCAGGGAGTCAGCTGGTCAGGGAGGGACCAGGAGAGGCACCAGGGGTGGTGACCCCCCCAGTCCTGTGTCTGTTCATAACCCAACGCTGCTGCTCAATTCACACTTGAGACCGTCTGTGCTTCTCCCACACAGAGCAGGCAGCCTCACTGTCTCTGAGCTCTCAGATCATCATGCATCTGTCTAATGACACACATACCAGCCATTGGCTTTCAAGGGCTCGGGTGGGCTGAGAGGTGGGAGATGTCGACTCTGACTGAAAGATGCCTGTGGAGGAATCACAGGTGCCACACAGGGCAATCTTGTCTCTGTTATCTGCACAGCGGAGCTGTCCAAGCCCTCCATCACCAGCAACAACTCCAATCCCGTGGAGAACAAGGATGCTGTGGCCTTAACCTGTGAACCTGAGACTCAGGACACAACCTACCTGTGGCGGGTAAATGGTCAGAGTCTCCTGGTCAGCCCCAGGCTGCAGCTGTCCAGTGACAACAGGACCCTCACTCTATTCAATATCACAAGAAACGACACAGGACCCTATGAATGTGAAACCCAGAATCCAGTGAGTGGGAAACACAGTGACCCAGCCACCCTGAATGTTCTCTGTGAGTATCTCTGTTCCTCTCTGGCCCAGGTTGCTAGCCCAAATCCACACAGATGGAGGCAGGCTCTCAGTCTCTCTCAGGTTCAAGCATGCAGACTCTCACCCCTGGACATCCAGGCTGTCTGTGACTCTCTGCCCCAGGAAAACCTGGGCAGACCAAGCCTTGACCAAGAATAGGAGGGGAGGAGCTGCCCCTGTCCTGGGAGGCTCAGGGTCCACAGCGTGAGACGGGAGAAACAGGTGAATGTCTCAGACTCAGGCTCAGGTGATACAAAAGGAGTTTGGTTGAGACATTAGGGTTGTGACTCAGCTCAGAGGGACACTGTGGTCCTTCCACAGAGCAGGAGCTTCCCCTTCCCTCTGATGACATCACTTGTGGCTTTATTCTCCTTGCTCCAGATGGCCCGGATGCCCCCACCATTTCCCCTCTAGACACATCTTACGGATCAGGGGAAAATCTGAACCTCTCCTGCCACGCAGCTTCTAACCCATCTGCAGAGTACTCTTGGCTTGTCAATGGAACATCACTCCAGATAAACACACAGGAGCTCTTGATCCGCAACATCACTGTGGATCACAGCGGATCCTATATGTGCTATGCCCAAAACTCAGCCACTGGCCTCAACAGCACCGCAGTCAAGATCATCACAGTCTCTGGTAAGTGGATCCATGGAACAGACATCATGTTTTGAGGTGGAGTCTATCTGCTTTTCAGAGAAGAGCCAGGAAGAAAGTTTCTATCCCAGCCTGTGTCCAATGGGCGCAAGTAAATCCCGAATTCTCTCCCAAATCTCCTCAATTTGTCTCTACACACTCTTCCCCTTGTTTTGATTTCTCACGGCTGACCCCGGGTCCAGCCTGGAATGTGGGGAGGAGGTTCCCTTACCCCCAGAGCCCTGTGTAGTGGAAGAAGCTTCACAGAGTGTAAAGGAGCAAGGTTCTCAAAGTCAAGTTGCCTCTCTCTGTCACCAAGATGTCTCCTGTCACCTCTTTGCATTCTTTCGCCCACTCCATGAGCTGCCCAGTGAGTGCCCACCACAGTGACCCAGTCACTCTGAATGTCCTCTGTGAGTATCTCTGTTCCTCTCTGGCCCAGGCTGCCAGCCCAAATCCACACGGCCAGAGGCAGGGTCTCTCAGTCTCTCAGGTTCAAGCACACACACCCTCACCCCTGGACATCCAGGCTGTCTGTGACTCAGATGAGGCTTTGAAACAAGCTCACGCTTTTCCCCCGAATGAGAGGAAGAAGCCCCTCGGATGAGGGAGGAGCAGCTCAGACTCTGCTCCCTGCTCTGCACCGGCTCCCCCAGTGACTGGCCTGCCCTGACTCCACCTGGGGTGGGACCTGGATGTATGGAGAAGGAGCCTGGGTGGCCTGTCCTGAATTTGGCTAAACGAAGCTGCCAATCAACATCGAAGCCTCCTTTGGTCCCAGTCAGGCTGCAGGAAAATGGAAAGAGAGGGAGCCTCAGGGCAGACTCCTGAGCTGTGCCCTGGCTCTGACGTCACCAGCTGTATGAGGCTGTGGGCACAGGGCCTGAGATACAGCACAGAGAACAGTGAGTGACACACACTTGGAGAAATCGGGAGACTCACCCACAGGGGCTCTGGCATGGTGGAGAAGAGGCAGTGTCAAAAGTTGTGTATTTACACAGAGGGTAACAGTACACATCTAACATAAGACTTACCATCTTCACCTTTCCACATGTGCAGTTCAGAGGTGTTAAATATATTTCCCTTGTTCTGCTACCATCACCACCGTCCACCCACAGAACTCTTTTCTTCCTCCAAAAATGAAACTCTGATTCCATCAAACTCCTGGGCAGAGCTGCCCCACCCCTGGCCCACAGTCTGACCGCTGACTTGTCACCTCTAGACTTGCTTGGCCTCCTGTGCTATTTCTGCTCAAACACCCATCCCCATCATCACCCATCTCTAGGATATCCTTAAATAGCAAAGCCTCAGAGAAAACACACCTTGGCTGGGTGGTGTAGGACGGTGCAGCTGGGAGAAACTCAGCTCCTTCAAATTCCAGGTGAGGACCCCAATGGGCCAGGCAGTCAGCCAGTCAGGGAAGGACCAGAAGTGCTGGGGGCTGTGACCCCCAGTCGTGTCTGCCCAGAACCCAACGCTGCTGCTCAATTCACACTTGGGAAAGTCTGTGCTTCTCCCACGCAGAGCAGGCGGCCTCATGGTCTCTGCGCCCTCAGATTATCATGCATCTGTCTTGTGACACACACACATGCCATGAGCTTTAAAGGCCTCAGTTGGGCTGAGAGGTGTGAGATGCCAACTCTTATTGAAAGGTGTCCATGGGGAGGAATCACAGGTGTCACACAGGGCAATCTTCTCTCTGTTTTCTGCACATCAGAGCTGCCCAAACCCTACATCACCAGCAACAACTCCAACCCCGTGGAGGACGAGGATGCTGTGGCCTTGACCTGTGAACCTGAGACTCAGAACGCAACCTACCTGTGGTGGGTAAATGGTCAGAGCCTCCCTGTCAGCCCCAGGCTGCAGCTGTCCCGTGACAACAGGACCCTCACTCTACTCAGCGTCACAAGGAATGACACAGGACCCTATGAGTGTGGAACCCAGAACCAATTGAGTGGCCCAGTCAGCCTGAATGTCCTCTGTGAGTACCTTCTGCTCCTCTGTGACTCAGACTGCCAGTACAAATCCACCCAGCCAGAGGCCAGGTCTCTCAGTCCCTCTCGGGTCGGAGGACAGAGACAGTTGCCCCTGGACACCCAGGCTGGCCCTCTCCAGTAAATCCATGCAGGGAAGTCCTGACCAAGAATAGGAGGGGAAGGGCTGCTTCAAGTCCACAGCCTGTGATGGGAGAAACAGAGAATGTCTCAGACTCTGACTAAGTGGACACATGGGGGTTTTGCAGGGACTTCAGGATTGTGACTTGGCTCAGAGGAACACTGTGGCCCTTCCACAGATCAGGACCTTCCCCTTCCCTCTGATGACATTCACCTGTGTATTCTCTTTGCTGCAGATGGCCCGGATACTCCCATCATTTCCCCCTCATACACCCATTACCAACCAGGGGTAAACCTCAACCTCTCCTGCCATGCAGCCTCTAACCCACCTGCACAGTATGCTTGGCTGATTAATGGGAGCCTCCAGCAAAACGCGGGAGAGCTCTTTGTCTCCAACATCACTGAGAAGAACAGTGGACTCTATACCTGCCATGCCAATAACTCGGCCACAGGCCGCAACAGGACCACAGTGAAGGCAATCACAGTCTCTGGTAAGTGGATCCCAGGACGATGAGCAGTACATTCTGGAGTAGAATCTGTCTGGTTTTCAGAGAAGAACCAGGAAGAAATGTTCTTTCCCAGTGTGCAGCCCATGGGCATGAGCAAATCCCACATTCAATCCTGAGCCCTCCCAATTTGCCTCTACAGACCCTCTTCCTCCTGTTATTCTGATTTCTCATGGCTGACCCTGGGTCCAGCTTGAGAAATGTGGGGAGGGCTTCATCAGCCCCGAGCCCCATGGAGTGGAAGGGGCTGATGAATCCCACTCCATAGGGCTCGGCTCCAGATGGCCCGGACACCCCCATCATTTCCCCTCCAGACTCATCTTACTGTTCAGGAGCAAACCTTTCTTCACAGAGGGGGAAGGACAAAGGGTCTCAAGGTCAACTTGCTCCTCTCTGTCACCAGCATGTCCCTTTCTGACATCGCTTTGTGTTCTTTTACCTACTCCATGAGCTACAAGGAACATCTGAGGCTTTGAAACAAGCTCATACTTTTCCCCCAAATGAGAGGAGGAAGCCCCTTGGATGAGGGAGGGGCAGCTGAGACTCTGCTCCCAGCTCTGCTCTGGGCTCCCCTGGTGACTGGCCCTGCCCTGCCTCTACCTGGAGTGGGACCCAGGCATGTGGAGAAGGTGCTCAGGTGGCCTGTCCTGAATCTGGCTAAGTCAAGCTGCCAGTTGAAGCCAAGCCTTTCCAGGGTCAGGCTGCAGGGAAATAAGCAGAGAGGGACCCTTGAGGCAGACTCCTGAGCTGTGTCCTGGCTCTGATGTCAGTGGCTGTATGAGGCTGTGGGCACAGCACATGGGACACAGCAGAGAACAGTGAGTGACATACAGTTGGAGACGTACAGAGATTCATCCACAGGGACCCTGCGTGGCCGGGAAAGGGCAGTGCCAAAAAGTGTGTATTTATAGAGAGGGTGAGACTACCAGCCACTGCACGCATCTAACATAAGATACCATCTTAACCTTTCCATGTGTGCAGCTCGGCAGTACTAAATATATTCCCACTGTCCTACTACCACAGAACTCTTTTTTCTTTTCTTTTTTGTGGAGACAGAGTCTCGCTCTCTTGCCCAGGCTGGCGTGCAGTGGCTCAATCTCAGCTCACTTAAACCTCCGCCTCCTGGGTTCATGCAATTCTCTTGCCTCAGCCTCCCAAGTAGCTGGGATCACAGGCACACGCTGCCATGCCCCCACTAATTTTTTGTATTTTTTTTAGGAGGGACAGGGTTTTACCGTGTTGCCCAGGCTGGCCACAAACTCCCAAGCTCAGGCAATCTGCCCGCCTCGGCCCCCTAAAGTGCTAGAATTACAGGCGTGAGCCACCTCCCCCGGCCAACAGAACTCTTTTCTCCTTCCCAAAATGAAATTCTGTTTCCATCAAAATCTTGGGTAGAGCTGCCTCACCTGTAGCCCACAGCCTGACCCCTGAACCCACGTCCAGACTTGCTCCTGGTCTCCTCTGCTGTTCCTGCTGAAACACCCTCCCCATCGTTACCTATCTCCAGGATAGCCTTGAAAAAAAGGCTCAGAGAAAACACCTCAGCTGGGTGGTATGGGGCTGTGCAGATGAATTGGATTCAGCACCCACAAGTCCCCAGGTGGGCCAGGCCGTCAGCCATCAGGGAAGGACCAGGAGAGGTGCTGGGGGCTGTGACTCCCAGGCCTGTGTCTGTCCACAACTGGATGCTGCCATCCAATCCACACTTGACAAAGTCTGTGCTTCTCCCACACAGAGCAGGCAGCCTCATGGTCTCTGTGGAGGAATCACAGGTACCACACAGGGCAATCTTCTCTCTGTTATCTGCACAGTGGAGCTGCCCAAGCCCTACATCACCAGCAACAACTCCAGCCCTGTGGAGAACAAGGATGCTGTGGCCTTAACCTGTGCACCTGAGACTCATGAATCTACCTACCTGTGGTGGGTAAATGGTCAGAGCCTCCTGGTCAGTCCCGGGCTGCAGCTGTCCAGTGACAACAGGACCCTCACTCTACTGACTGTCACAAGGAATGACACAGGACCCTATCAGTGTGGAATCCAGAACCCAGTGAGTGCAAACCACAGTGATCCAGTCACTCTGGATGTCTTCTGTGAGTATCTTCTGCTCTGTGGCCCTGGCTGACAGCCCAAATCCACCCAGCCAGAGGCCAGGCCTCTCAGTCCCCCTCAAATCCAAAGATGCAGATCCCCACCCCTGTACACCCAGGCTGGTCCTAACTTCCTGCCCCAGGAAAACTTGGGCGGGCTCAGCCTGGACCAAGAATAGGAGGGGAGGGGCTGATTCTGCCCTGGGAGGCTCAGGGTCCAACAGCCCGTGATGGGAGAAACAGGTGAATGTCTCAGACCCAGACTCATTGGACATGAGGGTTATGGTTTGGACTTTTTAACACAGGATTGGGACAAGACTCAGAGGGACACTGTGGTCCTTCTACAATCAGGAGCTTCCCCTTTCCTCTGATGACGTCACCTGTGGCTTTGTTCTCTTTGCTCCAGATGGCCCGGACACCCCCACCATTTCCCCTCCAGACGCATCTTACCGTTTAGGAGCTAACCTCAACCTCTCCTGCCACTCGGCATCTAACCCACCCCCGACGTATTCTTGGTATATCAATGGGACGTCGAAGTCAAACACACAAGTGCTCTTCATTGCCCAAATCACTTCAGATCATAACGGTGCCTACGCCTGTCGTGTCTCTAACTCAGCGACTGGCCGCAATAATTCCACAGTCAAGAACATCACAGTCTCCGGTAAGGGGCTCTCCGGAGCATCAGCATCATGCTTTGGGGTGGAGTCTGGCTGGGTCTCAAAAAAGAGCCAAGAATTGGGCACAAGCAAACCCCAAATCCTATCCTGAGCCCTCTCACTCCATCTCGGTAGATTCTCTCCACCCCTTGCTTCTCTAATACCTCATGGCTGACCTTGGGTCCAGCCCGGAAAGTGGGGACAGGGCTCTCTAAGCCCCAACAGGCCCCCTATAGTGAAAGGGGCTTCATAGTGCAGGAGAAACTATGTTGTGCAGAAACCCTTCTGTCACCTCTTCGTGTTGTTTTACCTACTCAATGAGCTACAAGGAATAAGGAGGCTTTGAAACAAGCTTACGCTTTTTCCCCAAACGAGAGGAGGAAGCCCCTTGTTTGAGGGAGGAGCAGCTCAGACTCTGCTCCCTGCTCGGCACCAGCTCCCCCAGTGACTGGTTCTGCCCTGACTCCACTTGGGGTGGGACTGGGGCATGTAGAGAAGGTGTCCAGGTGGCCTGTTCTGAGTTTGGCTAAATCGAGCTGCCATTCCACAGCAGAGCCTCCCCCAGGTAAGGTTTCAGGGAAATGGGAAGAGAGGGAGCCTCGGACAGACTCCTGAGCTGTGTCCTGGCCCTGAAGTCACTGGCTGTATGAGGCTGTGGGCACAGCACATAGGACACAGCATGGAGGACAGCGAGAGACACATACTTGGAGAAATGGGGAGATTCGGCCGTGGTGGCTCTGCATGGGATGCAGTTCCAAAAAGTGTGGATTTATAGAGAGGGTAAGACTACCGGCCACTGTATCTATCTGTCATAAAACTTCACATTAACCACTTCTAAGTGTACAGTTCAGTGACACAGCATAAATATAAATCAAGTATATTGCCGGGCGTGATGGCTCACGCCTGTAATCCCAGCACTTTGGCAGGCTGAGACGGATGGATAACCTGAGGTCAGGAGTTTGAGACCAGCCTGATCAACATGGTGAAACCCTGTCTCTACTAAAAGCACAAAATAAAAATAATTAATTAGGCATGGTGGTGGGCATCTGTAATCCCAGCTACTCAGGAGGCTAAGGCAGGAGAATCACTTGAACTTGGGAGGCGGAGGTTGCAGTAACCTGAGATGGCACCACTGCACTTCAGCCTGGGTGACAACTGAGACTCCGTCTCAAAAAAGAAAAAAAAGAAAAAGAAGTCAAGTATATTTATACTCTTGTGTAACCATCACACTATTCATTTGCAGAACTTTTTCATCTTACCATACTAAGCCTCTGTACCCAATAATTTACAGTAACTCTCATTCCTTCTCCCCCTAACTCCTGGGAACTTCCATTCTACATTCTGACTCCAGGTAGTCAACTATTCTAATCATCTTATATAAATGGAATTACGTCACGCTTGTCCCTTTGTGTCTGGCTTATTTCACTCGCAGAATGTCTTCAAGAGTCATCCATTTTGCACCATGTATCACAATCTTATTCCTTGTTAAGATGGAATAACATCCCATTGTATAGACAGACCTCAGTTTCCTCTCCATTTATCTTTCAATGGACTTTTCAGTTGTTTCCACTCTTTGGCTCTTGTGAGGAACGCTGCTGTGAACATCAGTGTACAAATACCTGTTCAAATTGCTGCCTTCGATTCTTTTGGGTGTACGTCCAGAAAAAGGAATTGGTGGATCAAATGTTAATTCTTTAATTTTTTGAGGAACCAGCATACCATTTTCCACAGTAGCCAATATTTCGCATTTCTATCAGCATTGCACTAGAGTTCCCATTTTTCCTCCTTGGAAACACGTATTACTCTGTGTTCTTTCTTTATCAAAGCCATCCTAATGTGTGTAGGGTGGAGTATCCCTGTGGTTTTGATTTGCATATCCCTAAGTCTTCATGGTATTCAGCATCTTTGCATATGCTTGTCGGCGATTTGTGTATCTTTCATGGAGAAATCTCTCTTTCAGTCCTTTGTCCATTCTTTTAATTGGGTTTTTGGATTTTTGTGGTTGTTGATTTATAGTAGTTCTTCATATATTTTGGAAATTAATCCCCTATCATATATATGATTTGCAAATATTTTTCCCATTTCATAGGTTGTGTTTTCACTTTCTCAAGAACGTTCTTTGATATATAAAAGTCTTCAGTTTTCATGAAGTCTAACTTATCCGTTTTTTCTTTTGTTGCCCATGCTTTTGTTGTTATACGCAAGAAATCACTATGAAATTCAATGTCATAAAACTTTTTTTTTTTTTTTTTGAGTCAGAGTCTCACTTTGTCACCAGGCACCAGGCTGGAATGCAGTGGCACAATCTTGGCTCACTGCAACCTCCGCCTCCCGGGTTCAAGCAATTCTCCTGCCTCAGCCTCCCGAGTAGTTGGGACTACAGGCACATGCCACTACGCCCCGCTAATTTTTGTATTTTTAGTAGAGATGTGGTTTCACCATGTTGGCCAGGATGGACTCGATCTCTTGACCTCGTGATCTGCCCACCTCAGCCTCCCAAAGTGCTGGGATTACAGGCTTGAGCCACCGTGCCCGGCCAAAACTTTTTTCCCTCGTTTTCTTCTCAGAGTTTTATACTTTTCACTCTTGTGTTTAAGTTTCTGATCCATTTTAGGTTAATTTTCATATACAGTGTCAGGTAAAGATTCAACTGGTTCTTATGCATAGACATCCAGCTTTCTCCCCATATCATTTGTTGAAAAGACTGTCCTTTCCCCTCTAAATGGTCTTGGCACTCTTATCAAAAAGCATTTGGCCATATATTCAAGCATCTCTTTCTGGGCTCTCTATTCTATGTCATGGGCTTCAGTATCTTCCTTTAGGCCAGGACCACCCTGTATATCGATTACTGTGGCCTTACAGTAAATGCTGAAGTCAGGAAGTGTGAGTCCTCCAGCTTCATTCTTTATTTTCCAGGTGGTTTGGCTATTTACCGTCCTGAGATGCCATATGAATTTTAGGATAGGTTTTCTATTTCTGCAAAAACTGTCACTGGGACTCTGGTAGGAATTGCACTGAACCTGCAGCTCAGTGTGGCTAGTGCTGTCCTCCTAGCAACTGTCTTCCCATCCATGAAAACAAAATGTCTTTCCATTTATCCGTGTCATCTTTAATTTCTTTCAGCAATGTTTTACAGTTTTCTAGGTACAGTCTTTCACCTCCTATTAAACTTATTTCTAAATATTTTATACTTTTTTATGTTAATGCGAATTGGGAATTTTTTCCTAATTTCTTTTAGATTGTTCGTTGTTAACATGTAGAAACACAACGGATGTTTGCGTGTTGATTTTGTATCCTACAACGTTCCTGAACTTATTTATTGATTCAAACAGATTGTTTTAAATCTTTAGGGTTTTCTACATATAAGTTCACGATATCTGAGAACAGAGATCATTTTACTTCTTCTTTCCAATTTGGATGTCTTCTTTTTTCTTTCCAGTTTGTCTGGCTAGGGCTTCTAATACCATGCTGAGTAAATGTGGCAAAAGCAGGCATCTCTGTCCTGGTCTTACAGGGAAAGCATTCAGTCTTTCTCTGTTGAGTATCATGTTAGTTTTGGGCTTTTCACATGTTGCCTTTATTATATTAAGGTGGTTTCCTTCCATTCATAGAATATTTTTATTATGAAAGAACATTCTATTTTGTCAGATGCTTTTATTGGTTCTATCTAATTATCAATCTGTTTAAAGTTTCCAAAACTTTGTCCATTTCATCTAGGTTATTCAACAATTTGTTGGCATACAATCATTCATAGCACTCTTGTAATCTTTAATATTTCTGTAGAATTGGTAGAATTGGTAGCAATGTCTCCATTTTCTTTTCCTTTTTTTTTAATAGATAGGATCTCACTCTGCAGCCCAGTCCAAGCTAGAGTGCAGTGGTGCCATCATATAGCTTACTGCAGCCTCAACCTCCCAGGCTTAAGTGATCCTCCTCCCTCAGCCTCTTGAGAAGCTGGGAATGCAGACAGGTGCCATCACGCCTGGATCGTTTTTTAAAGAAATTTTGTAGAGACTGTGTCTCCCTATGTTGCCTAGGCTGGTCTCGACCTCCTGACCTCAAGCAATCCTCCTACTTGAGTCTCCCAAGGTACTGGGATTAAAGGTGTGAGCCACCGTACTTCCATTTTCATTTCTGATTTTAGTAATTTGAATATGCTCTTATTCTTAGTCAATCTAGTAAATGACTGTCGATTTTGTTGATCTTTTCTGAAGAACCAACTTTTGGTTTCATTGATTCCTTCTCTTGTTTTTCTATTTTCCATTTTATTTATTTAAACTCTCATCCTTATTATTTCCTTCACGCACTATCTGTGGTTTGAGGTTGTTTTTTTTCTATATCCTGAAGTGGTAAAACTAGGTTGTTGATTTGAGGTCTCTATTTTTAATGTATTTATCATTTTAAATTTCTCACACAACATTCTTAACTTCTCTGAGCCTTCAACTCTTCAACTGAAAATCGTAATAATTCTCATCACCAGGAAACGAAGGGAATGGAATTGCAATGAGAGTGCCTGTTTCATAGCATTGGTTTAAAGATTTAATGTAATATTTGATTAAGCCTTCAGCAAAATGCTACGCACAGAGGAAAACTTCACAAATGTTAGCTGCTGTTATTACTACTGTTATCATTAGGTTGAAGTCAGGCAGTCCTAGAGTCGTATCCTAGATCTATTTCTCACTAATCATACAACTTTGGGTAAGTTTTTTCACCACTCTAAGCCTCTGTCATTTCATCTGTAAAATGGAAATCATGTCTACCCAACAGGGTTATTGTATGGATCAAATGAGATACCAGAAAAGCATGTACAGTAGCTAACACAGCATTAACCGTCAGCCCGAGTTGACTGGTGACAGCTAAGCCCCAAATGAAAACCCACCAGGACATGGTTACTGGCTAAAAATGGGAGAGAGAAAAAAAGTTAAGTGCAAAGAATCAAGCCTGGTATGTTAGTTTTTATCCACTGAGATGCAGCCAAGATGTGGTTAGAGGTGCAAGATAATTATTGGGGAAAACAACCCCGAGGAAAAGCAGAGCAGGAGTGGGAGGAGTCTGCGCCCACAGACCATGATGCAGATCTGATTCCTGAGAAGGAGAAACAGGAGAGAGTTTCAGATCGTGAGGCGGTTCTCAGGGTTCCCACAAGGCTGATGGGGAGTCCTCACCCATAAGAGAGAAGCAGAGTCTCCCAGAACTGAGATTTCATTCCCCTGCTGGGAGCCCGTGAGAAGTGAGTTCTGTGTACAAAGGGCTTGGTAAACACGGAAGGCTCCAGCCTGGGCCTTCTGTCAATCAAGTCCCAGTCATAGAGACCCCACAGACTCATATTTATGTCTCCCTCCACTGAGACACTGAGAAAAAGATGGAACCATGAAAAGATAGAAAGTTCTAATGAGACACAGAACAGCAATCGGTCTTTCTAAAATTTCAAAGCCTTCAGAAATAGCTGAGTGCAGACAGGCCAGGATGGAATTGACAGAAGACCGATCGCCAACTAGAAACACAGTGAGAGAGAAAACATGTGAACCTTCCTGCAAAACGAACGCATTCCTTGAAGGAACAAGTAGAGACTACTTCATGCTGAGAGCTGGTACCTGGGGCACCCCACTGTAAAATCACATCCCCTTCACTCCTTCTCTCTCTCTCTCTCTCTTTTTTTTTTCCAGTACCAGACAGTCCTGTTGTCTCAGCTGGGACCACTGCCAGCATCATGACTGGAGTGCTGGCTGGGGTGGCTCTGATAGCAGCCCTGGTGTAGTTTCTGCATTTCAGGAGGACTGGTAGGTATGGTGGCCTTCCCTCTTGTTCTGTTTCCTGCAGAGCTGACCACCATGCTCGGGAGAGGGAAAGGACTTCTTCACCTGCGTCTGGGCCTGGATCTCCCCCTCCTGCCCCTAAACTCCTGCTTCTCACACGAATTCCTGCATGTCTCTTCCTCCCTACTCTTCATGCTCCTTGTACCTCACTGTCTATCCCTTTTTAATGCCTCTCACTTGGGTCATTTTCACCATTTCCACAAACCTCAACAGCTGCTCAAAGTCCTGTTTGACCCCTTGCTGCCAGTGTCTGAAATCTTCCTTGCATATGACTGCCTCATTATCTTCCTAAAATCTAGTTCACTCACACACTCAAGAAGCTACAGGGGCTACTGCGGTCTATCAGATAAGTTCAAATTTCTTCTCTTTATGAATCCTTCTCACTTCCTTTACCACCAGTCCCTTGTATAATTCTGTCATCCTAATTAGATCTGTCTCCCTGCACTTCCCTGCCTCTCTACCCTCTATGTACATAAAATTCTTAGTTTCAACGTTACACCTAAAAGCATGTCAAACAGGGCAATCTCCCTCCACCATCTGCACTGTGGATTTACCCACACTCTTCCTCACAAGCAGTTTCTGTCCTCATGGAGAACAAAGGCTGTAGCATTAACAGATGAATCTCAAGCTCAGCACACAGCCTACCTGTGGCTGAGAACCTTTTCCTGTTGACCAATTTATGTGTTCATAAGAGATACAGAAATGGGCCAGGTACAGTGGCTCAAGCCTGTAATCCCAGCACTTTGGGAGGCCGAGGTGGGTGGATCACGAGGTCAAGAGATCGAGACCATCCTGGTCAACATGGTGAAACCCCGTCTCTACTAAAATACAAAAAAAATTAGCTGGGCGTGGTGGCGTGTGCCTGTAATCCCAGCTACTCAGGAGGCTGAGGCAGGAAAATTGCCTGAACCCAGGAGGCGGAGGTTGCGGTGAGCTGAGATCGTGCTATTGCATTCCAGCTTGGGTAACAAGAGCGAAACTCCGTCTCAAAAAAAAGAGAGAGAGATACAGAAATGAAGAAGGCAAGGTCCTTCCCTTAGGAAACACAAGTTCTATGACAGGAGACAAAACCTGAAAAATCATCATAATTATAAAATGGATGCTTAAGCCCCACCCATAAATTCTCATCTACTGGTCTGGAGTGGAACCCCTTGGTAATTTTTAAGCGTCCCCAGATACTACTAATGTGTAGCCAGGATGGAGAATCCCTGTTCTAATATGAGGACTTAGGGCTGAACCCACGATTTTCAGCGAGGGGTATTAGAAGTGCGTATGGAGATACCTATACTTTGTTGGCCCTGTTCATTAATGGGCTCACCCAATAACTCAGTAATCTAGTTGAGAAACAGAAGCTAAATGGAAAGGCCACCTTATTTGATACGTTAAATTATATGGGAAGCAAATGATAAGTGATGCTAAATCTCTAAGTTACATTTATGGGTATGTTATTGATGTAAGTATTCCAAAGATTATGTAAGAAATTCTAGAAAGCTAATAGGGCATCAGCCATAATGCCATATGCCACAGAAGTAACTAAATTTCTGTGTAAGTTATGTTCTTATTATAATAAACTCTCATCAGATTTTTAACCATGCTCATTTTAAATCTTTTTCATTCACAGACGGTTGTGATTCTTCCTTAAAGCATTTGCAACCAGCTACAGTCTAAAATTGCTTCTTTGTCAGGGATATTTATAGAAAAGACTCTGGCCTGTACTCTGGAATACAAGTTTCTGATAACATAGAGATCATATCATTGGACTGTCTGAGAATTTCCAAAACTTTAATGAACAAATTGATAGCTTCATGAAACTGTCTACCAAGATTAAGCAGAGAAAATAATTGATTTCACAGGACTAAATGAACTAATGAGGACAATATTTTTATGATTTTTTATTTAAAATTTTGCTGATTCTTTAAATGTCTTGTTTCCCATATTTCAGGAAAGTTTTTTTAAGTTATCCATAGCTTACAGCAATTTGATAAAATATATTTTCGTGAACAAAAATGGAGACATTTACATTTCCTCCCTACGTGACTGCGCCAGACTTGGGAAACTCTTTATGACTGTTTCTATTGTATGGTGATATAATTATTGCACAAGTTCAATAAAAATCTGATTTTTTATAACAGAATACATTTGAAAACATTGGTTATATTACCATTCTATTGACTAGAATGTCATACTTGAAGATATACAGAGAATAAACCCCTAAATACCACAGAAAAAGTCTGGAGTCAGCCTTAGTTCGGCTTCCTAGCGTCAAGAGGTTTCTAAGTTTAATCTGAGATTCCTTATAAAAACTTCCAGCAAACTGAACCTTTAAAAAGTCTACATGGTCCGTCTCCACTGTTGCTGCAGTTATATGAAAAGAATGAGGCCAAGTTTGATGAGACTAAACTTATTTTGAAAACAAATTTGCCTTATTGGGATTATCTTTGGTAGAGAGAGAGATGCCTATGGAGAGAAATTATATTGAAAAGAAAAGCTATAGTGTACCCGTTATGAGACTGTCGCTTTGCACATTGTTACTGAGTTTCTATTATCCACCTGTAGACTAGAGTGGATCCTGAATTCTTCCAGGGTCTTCAATCCCATTTTCTCCCATGCAATCACTAAGAACAAAATCTGCTCTGTTCCTGAAGCTCAATAAGCTAGAGATGGACAACTCAACGTAAATTTCATGGGAAAACACTCGTGCCTAAGGTGTGGGCCACTCAGAGTTCACCAATGTGTTCAACACCATAACTACAGACACTGAAACTGCAAACCAGGATGAGAAGTTGACAACTTCGTACTGTGGACAGCTTTTCCCAAGACATCAGAACAAGACTTCCCATCATGATGAGGCTCCTACCCTGCTTAACTTGTCTTTGCTCGTGCATGCCTCTTTCCCTTGGCAGGATAATACTGCAATTAGAATTTCATAGGAAGTAGCTTCTTAAGGCAGCTTAAGAGAATGTCAGATCTATCATGCCACCCCCAAATTTTTACATAAGAGATCCTTTAGTCCACTCAGTGGCTGCCATTAACAGCATCTTTAACACAACTCTTTGTTCAAATGTACCGTGGTCCCTTTTAGAGCTACACTTTTAGACTCACTTGTTCTCACTCCCTGCTTTAATGTAACCCAGCCATGAGATGCTAGATAATGGGATTACTTCCTACTAGCTGAACAGGAAGGAGGAGCCTGTGCTGTTTCTGATGCTTTCTATGGAACATAGATAAATACAGAGACTCAGTTGCAGAAATTAACAAACGTGCGGCTTGGTTAAAATGGGTAGACTCCTCCGGCTCATTCTTTGATCTATTCCACTTTAGTTGGTTTGCATCTTTCTAAGGTGCACACCCCAAACTCTTGGTGTTATCCTCCTGATAGTCATGCTAGTAGTCTCCCTGGTGTGCCGTATTCTCTAAAAGCTTTCAACGTTTCCATGCAGCTATCCCTCAAATGTCAAATGGTGTCACTTTGGCTGGAATGACAAGACTCAAAGGAACGTGGGATCAGGAGGACATCATGACCTATGAATGATGGAAGCCCAAAATGATGGTAGCTGAGAATAATATCAGTGCTTTAAGTTTTGGTCACACTCTCACCTAAATGAGAGCATAGAGACTCCAGAATAGTGCCACTGATGCTAAATGTTATGTACTCCAACTGAAATTTTAAGAAAGCAGATAGATCCCAAAACAGACCAATTTAAAAAAAAAAAAAAAGAGGAGATTCCAATCTACTTGAGTTAACGTAAGAAGGAAGTCCCCTTTGCTTTCATTTTTATAAAAAAGTAACCTGAATTAACCTGATGCTAACCAATCTATTTATTTCCATTGCTCTTTTTTCTTCTTCAAATTTGACAAACTCACTGCTCTCTTATTATATTGCTCAGGGGGAGCTATCACTGTATTTTTAAAGGGGAAGATGCCTTAAATTATAAATCCCAAATAAAAGCCAATTTGATGTATGACTGAATGTGTTGTAACTTTGTTTTATGATGCACATTCACAGCCAGTGATGGCCAGTGGAGTCGCTCAGACTTCCTCATTCTCACCCTGACCCTCCTGCCTTCCTCTTTCACTTACAATGACCTTTCTGAATACACTGAGCCCACCCAGATTATCCAGAATAACCTCCCATCTCAAGATTCTCGTAAGGTCATCTTATCTGCAAAGTCTTTTTGCAAAATAAAGTTAACATGCACTGGCTCCAGGGATTAGGATGTGGATATATTTTTAACTTCTTTATTTGGTTCTTTAATTTTTTTAAATTATATTTTAAGTTCTGGGGTACATATGCAGAACGTGCAGGTTTGTTACATAGCTATACACGTGCCATGCTACATCTATCCCCCCGTCATCTACATTAGGTATTTCTCCTAATGCTATCCCTCACCAATCCCCCCACCCCCTGATATCCCTCCACTAGCCCCCCACCTCCCAACAGGCCCCAGTGTATGATGTTCCCCTCCCTGTGTCCATATGTTCTCACTGTTCAACTCCCACTTATGAGTGAGAACATGTGGTGTTTGATTTTCGTTCTTGTGTCAGTTTGCTGAGAATGATGGTTTCCAGCTTTATCCATGGATATTTTTAGAGGCCATTATTCTGCCCAACGCAGGTACCTTCTATAAACTTCACCCACGACAAAAATTTGCTTTGCCTTCCATGTCTCACAGAAATAAGAAAGTGCATGTATAAATGAACAAGTCCTTCTATGTCCACATAAAACCTATACATGCTTTCTCTTAATTTACACATACCAGTCCCAGTCCTGCCCTGTTAACTTATACATGCACCTTCTTATTTCACTCTTCTTCAGTCTTTCTCTTTACATCTTATAAATTTGGACAGTACAGAGACAAAAATAATGACCTAGGCCAAAAGACAGGATTCCTTTAGCAGGAACATTCCTTTAGTCATGTACCCAGTGTCACCCAACTCCATAATTTAATCTCATCCTACACTTTATCCGGGAAGAGGACACCTGAAGATTTCTGTCTGGGCACAAAGTTTAAGGTGAAACACACCAGCTCTGCTATGAGCTGGCTGGATGACCCTGGACCACCCACTTCACCTGCCTCAGCCTCTTCTAATCTGCAGTTTGAGGGTGACTCTTACTGCGTCAGAAAATGACATTGAAAGAGTAAATTAAGACATGTAAGGCTTTGGACACAGAGCCTGGTACCTGATGAGCCCTCAGTAAACATTCCTTTCTGTCCTTTTCTTTCACCATCCTATTTATCTCACCCTCACCCATCTGCTCCTTCATGTCCTTTCTCTTCAGCAACTTACTCTGGCTAAGCTGCCAGTTAGCAAAGACGCCACACTTCCCATTCTCTGATGACTCTGCTGGAATGTTCTTGTGATGAAGTCTGTTATCCACACAAGACAGCCCACATTATTTACACGGAGAGGTCGGGTTAAAACAAGTCCTTTTTATGTCCACATAAAACCTATACATGTTTCCTCTTAATTTACACATATCAGTCCCAATTCTGCCCTGTTAATTCATACACACACTTTCTTATTTCACTCTTCTTCCCGTCTTTCTCTTTACACCTTATAAATTTGGATAGTACAGAGACGAAAATAATGACCTGGGCCAAAAGACGGGATTCCTTTAGCAAGATGAATGCTTTCCTTTAAAAAGATGAATGCCTGGCAGGGCATGGTGGCTCATGCCTATAATCCCAGCACTTTGGGTTTGGGAGACCGAGGCGGGCAGATCACCTGAGGTTGGGAGTTCAAGATCAGCCTGACCAACAAGGAGAAACCCCCATCTCTACGAATCAAAAATTAGCTAGACATAGTGGTACATGCCTGTAATCCCAGCTACTCGGGAGGCTGAGGCACGAGAATTGCCCTTGCAGTGAACCGAGATCATGCCGCCATTGCACTCCAGCCCAGGCAACAAGAGTGAAACTCCATCTCAAAAAAAAAGATAAATGCTTTCTTTTGGCATAATGAATGCTAATTTGCAAGGCACCCCCTCAAACCTGTTTCTAGGCTTGCTTGGCTTTCAGAAAAATCATTTAACTCTAGGACATATTCCCCCAGGAGGTAATAAGTGACAGAAGCCACACCCACTCTGCGTACACCTGGTGCTGGGTACAGGCATTTTCACAGAATGTTGTGCATGAATACTGCTCCCCAATCCTTCCACTCCTAGAGGGTAAGCCTCCCCCATCGCCATCTTCATCTCCAGCTGGCCTGCCAGGACTCTGGCTGGAAAATACCTCCCGACCCTGCATGCCCAGGATGGCACCTTTGCCTATTCCTATAATTATAATCGCTTACACTGATGCAGCACTCACTTTGCACCAGGCACTATCCTAAGAGCTTTCCAGGTATCTCCAGTCCTCACAAAAAATCCTGAGTGCTATCATCTCAGTTTTTACAGATTAAAGAAAACTGAGGCAGAGATGTGAAGTAACGTACCCAGTGTCACCCAACTCTATAATTTAACCTCTTCCTCCACTTTATCTGGGCAGAGGACACCCTAAGATGTCCAAGGTCTCCTAAATGACATCCACCTTCCAGAATGGTTTTTGTCCCCTCTACTCTCAGGGTTTGACAAACAGCCAGGATTTTGTTTTCTGTCTCACCCACACTCGCAACTGCTCACACCTGCATAAAAGCTAGCTTTTATGAACCCCAATCTCTTTGGGGAAAAATAGGGCCAGGTTCCCTGTCCTCATAAAAAAGACATTTTTACTATATTGTCAACTATTTGCACAGCCATTTTCTGGCCATAAATGAGGTACATGAGCAACAGTAAGTGTGTAATGAGAAGGAAGCAGGAAAAGCCTGAGTTCCTGGAGTGGTCACAAAGGGGAGAAGACTTCAAATCCAGAAAACAGTCATAAAACACACCCAGACTGTGTGACTTTTGAGCAGTGACAGCCCCACCTGTCTCTTTCCATGCCTGGTAGCCTCCG